GGAGGGCCCAGCGAGCCCGCGGCGGGGGGGCGGCAGACGCCGAGACCCCACCAGCCCCTCACCGGTCCTCGTCCTCCACTGCTGCCAGCGCCAAAGCCAGGCCAGCGCTTCCCCACAGGCTCCGCATTTGCCGACTGCTCCAGCTGGTTTCTTTTCCCCAGCGGCTTGAATTGTCCACGGCAGGATCCAAAATCAGGGGGCTACAGCAGCGACACCCACGCCAGCTCCGGGAGAGACGGGCTCTCGGCCGGGGGACACGCGGACCTGGAGGTCGTTGCTTCTCGTCCACGTGGCCCCCGGGGTCCTGGCGTGCTCGGGGCGGGGGGGGTTGTTTCGAAGCACCAGGGGCAAGTCCAGCTCCCGCTGCCGCCCTGGGACAGAGCTCAGCAGCTGAAGGACGTCGCTCCAGAAGGCGTCAGAGCTGTAGCTTCACAAAGGTCGAGTTCCCCGAGGCCCGATTTCTACAGAAATGGGAATTTTCCTCCTCCTTCGGCAGCCGAGCGCTGCTCCGTCCTCCGGCCGGTGGGGCGGGCAGGGCTCCGGCACTGGAAGAGGGTGCAGCTCAGCGCTGGTCCTTCGCGTGCCCCCTTCCCCCTGCAAGCAGGGGTCGCGAGCCCCAGCGTGAACACCCGGGATGGTTCACACCTTGCTGCTGTACAAGAGATTCTCCTCTAAGCCTGAGAAGACTCCACAGCCTGGCACCGGGGACGGCACGGGACGCGAGGGGCTGCTGCCCACGAGGAGGGGCCCGTCGGGGTTACTGCTGGTAGCAGTTTCCCTGGGTGAAAGGACGGGGATGGATCACGGGACGTTTCCGAACTCCCCAGTGGGAGGTTCCCACCTTTCCGGAGATAAATTTGGAAGTGGTGAAGTGAGAAAAAACAACTTCAAATCTTAGATTTTCCAACAAAAGCAGGGGAGGAGAAAAAAGGAAAGCTTTCTGCTCCACTACCAAGAGGAACCTCTCCGGGTCTCTGCAAGTACTGAAACGCGACAGGCAGCGTCGCAAACGTTTCAAAGCCTTCCCCGCACGGCCGTTACCCGCTAGGTACGTCTCCGAAATCTGCTCTTCGGAGGGTCTCCCCCATCATTGCACCACCGAGACCCGCGACTCCGAACACCACATCCCTTCCCTGCCCCGCGCCAGCAGAGGGGACGCTCGCGGCCAGCCCGGGGGTCTCAGGCAGCCCCACCAACGCGCAGGGAGGAGGGAGAACTGCCCAGATTTCACCCGAAACAAAACCAGGCCTCCAGGAAAGCTTCGCATTCTTCCCCCCTTGCAGCTGTGCCAGGTTTCCTTCCAAGTCGAACTCTGCAATGAACAAACGTTCCTGTTGAAGTCGAAGCAAGGCTTGCCATCACAGGGGGAATCAAGCTGCTCTTCCAGCCCCTACAGACCCTGAGGAGAGCAAGTGTGGTT